AAACCCTAAACCCTAAACCCCTACACCAGGGAATCCGGGGATCATCCGATAAAATTGGAACGATACAGAGAAGATTAGCATGGCCCCTGCGCAAGGATGACACGCACAAATCGAGAAGTGTACCAAGTTTGCCTTGCAGTGGTCACCCCAGTGGTTTGTATTGTTTCGCACATAGGGAACACTGCAGTCAACATTGCCCGATGACAGGAAGCCTGGGTCGCTGAACTTCGTTGTTGAAACTTGCTTCGTACTTTCCGACCCAGTTGTCCTGTCTAGTACAGGTGGAGTAGCGGCACTTTCTCAAACTCGCTAGTGGGCATAGATCCTCAGCCATGCGAGAGGGAAAAAAACCCCTACACCCTGCAATGCGGGCTTGGCCTAGCAAGGTGGGAGGCAAAAAAAACCCTAAACAGGATGCCTCGGAAGAGTTCGGCGAGACTGCCGAACCTGTGCATGTAATTGGCCGGGTGCCTCAGTCAGACCTGCAACGCCTGCAACGCAGACAAGTCTTACATCTCCGCGTCTTGTCTTTTCCCGACCGCAATTCCAATCCGGTTCTGGCACCTTTCTGATGTCCTCGCTCTTTGCTGGAAGTTTGTCTGCCCGGCAACGAAGTTAAGGCCTGCGCCGTGAAAGCGCTGGGAACCCCAGAACAGCACTGGCCAGCCAGCTCTGATTAGGGAATTAGCCAAAAGTTGACTTATCGGTAAGTTAGGGTTTTGAGATTTCCATCTCATCCTTGACATTTGTTTGTGGGTTTGCCGCTCATGGTTGACAAGTTAATATTGATTTCACCAGATCTGCCCCATAGAGCTCGGGCCGCGCCTCAGGTTCCCATCTACCGAATGGGAAAGATAGCCTCGTTCAAGACATCCTACTCTGGAGCACGGAGCTTAGCCGAATGGCTGACAAGGTTAGTCGCATTCCCTTTCCCACAGCTAGCTAGCCAGAACCACTACGTTCCATCCAGGAAGCCTGGTTGTTCCCAGCTGGCAAAGGCGGTAGATGGCCATGCCCGTCAGCCTTGATGCTTCTGCCCCTCGAGGTTGTCAGCATTGGCTACCCTCCACAGGCTCGTGCAGTTTGATGTTCATGACAAAGCTTGTTTTATCTAACATGAAGCAGGAAGCCCCCCTCCGCTAGGCTCGGTAAAAGTTTCTAGCGACTTGGAATCCCCGAAATTCAAGAGAGCCTGAGGGGAACAGGCTTGTTTACCTGTTTCGGGATGTCAGTGCACATTCGGAGGGGCCCGGTCGAGATTCACGCAGTGTGCCGTGTGATTTAGTGCCTGAGGACTTCCGTGTGGTTTTCGACACCGGCTCCGCCCACATCATCTTACCGGCCGTGGAGTGTCACACGGAGGACTGCCAAAGGGATCGGCACGGGTGTCGTCGGGCGCCACGGCCCCTGCCCCCCCTGGGCAGGCCTGCCTGGCCAACAATCGGAGGCTCTACAATCAGCTCGACCCTAAGAGTTGCGGTGCAAGCAGTAGTCAGGGAAGATCACAGCTTCCACAGAGCGCTTTGGACAGGGGCACCGGGGGCACCTCAGGTTTAGGCCGGTGAGCGTTGTTTTGGTTCAGACGCCAGCTGCTGGCCGGGACAGTATGTAAGAATGTCCCTGGGACATGAATCCGAAGTGTAGGTTGGGGAGATCCCCAACCTGAGCGAGCCTGAACAAGTTTCCGGAGTTATGTTGCCTCAAGGGCCGTTGGAATCTGTTCAGCGTGTTGGACGGAAGTTTGGCTGTTCCGCAGGAAAAAAATGTGAGAGGACTCAGCCATTAACTTCCACTCCTGATCTTGTCAGACAAAATAATTCCCGGCCGCAGCTCCAAGCCGAACGCAAGGGCTGCATCGACGACGTCCCTGCCAATCAACGCAGACGGTAGCATCGTGCACGAAGGGGACGATGGAGAGCAGGCGCGTTTCGCAGTTCTTCTGCTGCTGCTGCTGCGGCGCACTTTTGCTCTGTAAATTAGCTCAAAACATTGTGTGTGTGAGGGAACATGCTCGAGCTCACGTGTTTCTGCTAGCGGACCATTGGTGAGCAGGAAATGCTCTCGAGTTTGCGAACATCAGAATGGTATGACTAGCTGCAACACTTGGCTTTCGATGTTTTTGGATATGCGGCCGAGGTTGCTGATCAAGAAATGCAAGAGACTGTGCATCAAGCAGCTGGTTGAGTGCAACATGCTCATCCTCTCACCCTCTCACCCTCACACCCTCACACCCTCACACCCTCACACCCTCACACCCTCACACCCTCACTCCCTCACTCCCTCACTCTCTCACTCTCACTCTGACCCTCACTCACCCTAGCTCGCACTCGCACGCCGCAACATGGGCGAGTGATGTTCGGGAGTGTCAGGGACTCGCTCAGAGTGAGTTTGCAGGGCTCCATAGTTCCAAAATCGAGGCATGAAGAGAACTGCGCTACTGACATGTCCAAGAGCAAGTGAAATCTGAGCATTTTCATTGTATGCTGAGTTTTGTCCTCGCGCTGCCAGGTTACCATTGGCTTCGGCACTGGTGAGATCACCGGCGAGTTTGCCAAGGACACAGCAACTTCGCCGGAAATGTAGAACTGGGTCAAGGAATTTACTTCTTGTCTACATGTCAAGATGACATCGAATCTAAGCGTGGTCCGGGCACTATCTCACGAGAGAACTCGAAGTGTCGAGTTTGCCTGCAGAACACATTGCCCGACCTAGGGGATGTCACCGTAGTCCGTAGAGCAAGCTTGTTGCGCCCACCTACAAGCATTCGCGTGCCTTGCCCGAGGTTTGTATGGGCAAAGGCCAAACGGCCGACGAGCGACGCCTTCTCATGGCGGAGGCCCGAAGGCAGAAGGCGCCAGGGCGCACTGCACTGCGCACCGAGCACTGCGGTTTCTCTTGTCACTGAAAAGAGCCAGCCGACGTGAGGGCGTTAGCAGGCTTAAGCATGTAGCTATGGTGGTGCAGATACTTCCTGCGAGTTTGCACATGCTGTGTCTGTCGGCTTCAGGGAAGTAGAGGCTTCCTTCTGGCTGTTAGCCATGGCAAGAGCGACCTGGCTGAGCACCCTGGGCACCTGGCGCCATTCTCGCAATAGATGGGAGCCCTCTCAAAAGCGTGGTCCTAAGCGTAACAGGCATTCAAGAAAACTTTCCCTGAAGAGCACTTACGTTCCGCAGATTCAGTCCTCAAGTCTTGGGGGGGGGGGGTGTTTGTGATACTGACATCGTTGATTGCTGGTGCTGTTGCCCCGACAGCTTCAGTGCGAAGGTGGGCTTGATGCCTTTAGCATAAGCAGGCAGTTGCAGCCGATCGGGCGGGGTTCGCGAAGACGGTCCTTATAGAAGAGAGAACGCAGGATCGTGTATTCCCCGACCAATCTTTGACTAAAGTCCCAAGACGGGTCGAAGGAGCAAGCAACCAAAACACGTCGGCCGAGTTAAGCTCACGCAAGATGAGGGCCCGAGACAGGATTTGCCGCTTCCACACAAGCTGACCGATGTCCAGCTGCTGCTGAGGGAGGGAACAGAGGGACACAAAAAGCCGAGGCGGCAAAGGATATTATCGCAGCAGGTTTCTCTAGACTAGAGGGTACAGCGCATGGACGATTCAGCATGCTATCCCCTCCGAGTCTGCGGGGTAAGGGTTTCTCCACTCCTGGCTCTGGAGTCCCATGTCCAGTCGGTCGATTCAGCTGAGCAGCAGATGACTGGCTGTTGAAATCATCCGCAGAACAACCACGGGGCTTCATGCGTCAAACACGCAGCTCTGAAGACACAGTTTGTGAATTTTGGGAGTTGGGAGATCCTCTCTCTCTCTTGCTTCTTGCTGTGCAAGGTGCACTGTTACCGCCGGCGTATGGATCATCGCCTGGCTCTGGACGGCACCCAGCGCTTGCAAGTCTGTAGCGCAATGCGCTCCGCACCTGCAGCCTGGAAATGATGGGTCGATCTAGTCTACCTGCTCCTGGAGTTGTGTGTGGGATTTGGGCAAGGGGAGCAGGCTTCTCATATGCCTGTTTCGCTTCGCTTCAGTAACTCAGGCAGAGGCACCCGCGCTTCTATCACATCGTTTCCACTGCTGTCCTCTTGGCCCTCCTTGGCCACGAGCTCTTGAGCCTCATAGCGACTTACATTGGCACACAAAAGGCCAAAGCACTGATACCCCACCTCCAGAGCAACTTGCCTTAGAAAGGGGCCTTCTTATATCAGACCAAGTCAGGCACACATATGGTAGTCCTCTATAGCCACCTCGGTAGCATCTTCCTTCGGATCTTTGCAACTTGCATCTGAGGTAAGAGCTTGCCAACATTCTTGCTAGCCCTCATGCTCGGGAATCTTGCAATTTCCGAAAGCATGTTCTCCCAGCGAAGCTGGACCATTTCGCATGTGATGCCTGTCAGCGACGGCCTAACGGCTCCAGGCCGTCCTGTCTACACTCTGCAATTCCTCGATCCTCGAAGCCTAAATACTTTTCTTATTGTCCCTGGGTGGTAGGTCTTTCTTTGTGTTAAGGCCCAGCTGTGTGATGGTTGTAAAGGTTTTCACCAAAGAGAGTGGCACGATGTTGAGGGAGTGTGTCTTGACCCAGGAATGGACAGCAAATATGCCGATCCTCTTCATGCTTGCTGGGTACTGCGGCCTTGGCCGTCCCCTCCGTGAGATTTCACGGCCTCTGCTGCTGACCAACACTTACATCACTCTGTGCTGGGCAGGTACCTTGACCAGTAGCGCTTCGCTGAAGTGGATCTTGATCCTGGCATCTTTGGCGATGTATGCCTTGTCCTCCCGTTTGATGTTTCAGTGGTGCCTGGACTTCGAGAAAGCGGCCCCGAAGGATTTGCCCGGCAGAAGCCTACGACCTCTGCTGTCCTGCGGCCTGATACTCCACTTCTTCTTGTACGGCCTCGTTTACTTGGCTTCGGCACCCGGTTTTTACATTTCATGTCGGAGCTGCCCAAATCAGCTATTTCGAACGGATATAGTTACATAGAGTTGACCTTGTGACAGGAAGCGTGTCGGACGGGTCCTCACAACTGAGATTAGCAATATATAGGGCATGAGCGAAGCTTCGGTTCCATGTGGGCTGATGCAGAAATGCAGAGCGAAGAAATCTGACTTTGCTGCCCTCGCTCGTCTTTCAGGTAAGCGGCCTCGTTGATGCGCCACTGGAGCGGACTCGCGGCACGATTTCAGCAATCGCCTGGTGGCTATTGCCCATGTTCTGCTCGGGAAAAACAAAACCAGCACATGCATTTCGAGAAATTCAGATGCAGGAGCTTGTAGGGGCTTACAGGGATTACTGTATTACTTTGCAGTTTTAGAAGGGGCTTATGTGGGGCCTATCGCTACCTAAGGAAGACCTTCTTCGCTTTGACGTTTGGTTCGAAGATCGCCCTCTGCGCGGCCTTCGTGCTCATTCGAGCGGATGAGTATCACCAAACGCTGACGGGCGTGCTTCGCAAGATCAGCGCAGCTGGGCTCCTTTTGAGACTTTTGACGCTTTTGAAGGCTGAAGCTTGACTTAGCATGCATATGCCTGCAGTTGAACACTGAGACATTCGATGTATAGCTGCATAGCTGGCATAGCTGAAGTTTGTTTGCCGCTGCAGCATCCAGGTCTCCAACGCAGGCAGCTTGGCAGATCAAGCGAGTCTGAGGGCCCCACAGGGGTGCCTAGAAGCTTGTGCCCAAAGCATCCTCTCGCAGGCATGTCTGTGGAAGAGCATCTGTGCGAGCTTCTAGGGTCGAAAAAGTGCCGCCATTGCTCCCTTGATGCCAAGGGTGTTTATGGTCGATGGTTCAAAGTCCAAGGCATGATCTCCATCCTGCGGAGTAGCTTCGATGTGCTCCTCCCCTGCATGCTCGATTCGCGGGGCGCCTGACTCCGGGCCGCACACAATCAGAGGGTGTGAGGCAGACCCCAGAGACTTCAAGCCCAGCAAGCCCTGAAACCCACGATTACCTGTGACATTGACATCATGTTATCGATGATTACTATGAGTCTTGTCATTGTCAAAGGTTTTCTTCTTAGTACAAGTGCCTGGGCTTGGCCTGGCCACTGGCAATCGTGGCCTGAGTTCCTCGCAGCAGGGCAGGGAGTGCCCCCAGCTGTCTATGCTTGCAAGCATGTTAGCGCATAAGACCTCGACTCGGCAGCGAGGCAACTTCCAGCCTTCGCTCCCTCCGAGGCCGTTTCCTGCCAGATTCTCCTGGGGATATTGGCAAACTGGAGAAGCTCCTGGTGACTCGGCGTTTGGTGGAGGTTGTCTTGTCAGTGTAGAGTGTCAATTCGCAACTCGAGGTATCGGCAAATTTTGAGGTGAGTCAGCTATTCGACTTGGGCAAATTTGTATACACATGACAGCTTTCGCTGCTGGCATCTTTCAGCACACATTCTGTTTACGTGTTACGTGCTGCATTACACTCGCCCAGGAACTCCCTGTGAGCGGCTTGTCTTTGCAGGATCTCCTGCAGGGCGAACAGCAGCAGGCAGGTTTTCGTTTGGCTCTTCGATCCTTCGGCAATCTGCGGCCCTTCGTTACCTGACTGTCTTTTGAAAGAGATGGGGGTCATCGGGGTCATCATCCACTCAGCAAAGAATTGGAACTACTTTCGCCTCCTCTATGCTACTTGGAGATCTGCAAGTCTCTTTGCAGGCTGACTTCGCTGCGTACTTGCAGAACGTCGTACGCCAAGCCGATGCTGCGACGTCCTGCGCGGAAGGCACGCTAGGCAATTGTCGTGTTTTATTCGGACCCAGATCTTGTCTTTGGTGCAGCATTGGCTCGCATCTGCAAAAAATGAATCCACAAGTGCTCGCTGAGCGAGAGCTGCATGCTGGCAGGTTGGACAGCACCTGCAGCACAGGTGCCAAGAATGATTGATTGTGTCATGAGCATTCGATCACACAGCGTGCAGGGAGCTTCTTGGAATCGGGCAATACGTGATTACTTTGCCCCACCTGCTTGACAGGATGGTGTTCGTTCTTTCAGATAGTCGAATAGTGACCGGCCTTACGATCTCGGCAAAGAGAGGAGATTCGGGTGACCATGTCTGTTAACTTCTGGTAAGGACTTTGCTTTGCAAGGTGTTGCATTCCACCTTATGCCGCGGACAAGGAGTCGTTCAGGCTTCTCTGCACTTGCTGCCTGGCAGGTTGGTGCGACAGCAATAAGTAGTGGCTGTTTAGTGAAAGCAGCTGAAGACAGAGAGAGGTAACGAGCAGGGAGTATTTCGCACATTCTTCTGTTGCAGTGACGCGGACGCGGTCTTCCCACTTTGCTACCCTTTCCAGCGAGTGACTATTAAGTCTCCCTGTTTGCTGGTTGCTTCCATCAGACCCCCTGCAGCTACGATGTTGGCTACCTCGGAACAAGAACAAGGTCTACACGCCAATGGCTTTTCAAGAGTTAAGATGCCGTTCAACTTGTTCTGAAAGCCTACGGCTAGCAGGGCCCTTGCTTGCCAGCCCGACTTTCGATGCACCGTAGGTGCACCTCATGTCTTACGAACACGCTGTTGGAATCACGTCGCTTGCAAAGAGCTCTTTGGGTGCATGGTCAACACACCCCTGGCGGCCGAACCCATGCAGAACCGTAGGTTTCTGGAGGCGGTTCCAAAAAGAACGAAGGAATCATCGCATGCGAATCCGTGCACCTTCCTTGCTCTCTCCATGGCAGCGGATGCTCAGGTCAGTGGTCCCCCGCTCGGGCGCTACACTCGGGAGCGCGTCATGCCTGCAGTCAGTTCAGGGGTTCTATAGGGGTTTAGTTTAGTGAGTTTAGGGTTTGGAGGTTGGGAAGCAGAGTGAGGCCGAGCTGTGTTCAGCGTCAGGTCAGGGAGATAAACCCAGGGCATACGCTATCGAACTGATCCAAGATCCTCTGGACACTCCCTGTTGTGCAGACCGCGTCCACTCTCCAGTGCAGTTGTTACGCTGCCCAGATGATTTCTCAGTGTCAGTGTCAGATAGGCCTTCGTTCCCGAAGATAAGGTTGCGACAGCACTGCGACACAGCTGAGGTTCTGATATACTGCAAGAAATGCAAAACAGAAACAGCATTCGTGAAAGAGTTGTGCTCAGACGGACCTAGCCGCCCCAACCTGTGCCACTCATCGTTGCCACCGCCACCCCTGCCATCTCCACAGCGCGTCGTTTCGAGGAACGGCGCTTGGTTGCGGCCTTGCGGTTCTCTGGTGGCGACGAGGATCTGGGGCAACTCGGCTTACAGTTCCTCGCTGATGGTCTCAGAACGGGGCATATAGGAGCAGGGCGGTCGGTACCATGAGCTTGCCAGACTAAGGGTGGAACACGCGATTCCAGCTTTCGAGGCGGGCCAGTCATTGGGCTGCTGTTTCAAGTCAGAAGGCTTTCGCACTCATTAAAACGTGGCCAGGGTGCGACTTGTCCTTGCGCCAGCCACTAAGACCGTGTTGTCATCTTCGTTTTTGCGGCAGAGCCATCTTCGACAAAGCACTTCGTTCTTGTGCTCTCCTTGCTGGCAGTACAGTGTTGCTCACCGCCAAAAGGTCTTCAAGATCTGGAGTTTGGGTTTCAACATTACGGTCAATGTGCTGTCAGATGCAGCTCCTAACAAAAGTACATCTTAGAGTGCCGTGTTTTCTGAAGCAGCTATCTGACCAGAATCCGAAGCCGCATTCGATTTCCAGGATTTCAAGCGATCGGAGACCGTCCTTTCGGAAGGCTCGACCCAGCCCACGGCAAGCGATGCAGGCCTCTCGGTGATGTAAGCGCCGAAATCACATGTTCAACCAAATCCATGGATGAGCCCCACCGCCCTTGCTACAACCCTCGCCTCAGGGTTGTTGCTAAACAGGCAGCTCTGCTACCTGCCCCTTAGGCCACACAAGAACGAGAAGACGCTAACACGCCGAAACCCATGTAAGCAGTTTATAAGCCAGTTCAAACGGGCCATAATGCTAATCAGACTAATCCAAACACCTTTGTGCGAGCTCTGAGCCCGCTGAGCCCGAAACCCGCGCCCAAGGATCGAAGCTGGCGATCGTCGCAAACCTGGCCGATCTCTCAAAACTCGGTGCTTCCCAGTGCCTTGGTCCGGGCTGTGCTGAACCAGTTTTGTTTATTGCGAGTATCCCGCAGCAGCACCTGAAAGACACACCGACCAATGCCCAGAGGGAGCCCATTATCCACTCTTGCCCCAAGACTCGTCAGCTACATTCAATGTCAGCACTAGCAAGACCTAGCATTAGATGGGAGGGACATAGGAGGATCTGACAATCATGTCATGGCTCATGACCCCCAACCTGTGAAGCCCGACAGACGAACGCAGGAGTAAAGAGAACCATTGAGAAAAGCCCTGCACCCCCCGTGGGAGCCATCAGAGCCTCGATGAATGGCCTCGTTTTAAGGCACGACACCTCTCGGACTGCAGGCGTTGTATCAGGGTATAGAACAGTACTTAGTCATATGTAGTTATATCATATACATATAACATGATATATATATATACATACATATATATTCATACATACATACATACATACATACATATATACATATCTGCATATATGGTAGTGTGAATTGACATGTAGTGCAGCCGCCAAGCGCCCACTTTCAGGTTGCTCCAGAGCTCTTCTGCTGCCAGCCAGTCAGCTGCCGAGCCCTTGGAATCTTGGACGTCATTGGACGAATTTCCATAGCCATTGGTGAAGACATGAGGGATCTGTTTCGATGTAGCCGCCTTGCTTTGAGCAGTCCCCAGGCGCTTGTTACTAGATTAAAGCCCAGTGTGGAGATGTGGAGTGCAGGAGGTGTTCCATGGTTGTAGTTCCATGTTCGAATGCCGCGGAAGACCCAAGGATGATGCTAGCTCCTACCACTTCGCACCATCACTTCTGGCCCGGGGCCCAGGAGTCTGAGAGAAGCTGGGAGCCCGTTTCTTCGCTGACTGGGTTCTTGCTAAGGAGCTTAAATGTAAGCTACCATAATGAAGACCTATGGCAAACGATATGGTTTCCTTATTCTCGTAGCTTAAAAACTAAATCCCTTAACAAGAACCCAGAGTATCCTGAAGCCCTGCAAATCTAAAGCTTTGCAAGCCCTGGAGACCCTAAAGTAGCGAGGCATAATATGGGACCTATAGGAAAAAATATGGTTTCCTTATTATGGTAACTTAAAAACTAAATCCCTTATAACACGAACAGATCCCTATTATAGTAACTTTCAAAGATTAGATCCCCTTTATGCCAAGATTGGATCCCAATCATAGTAACTCAGACCATTCAATCCCTTTTAAAACCAGAACCCAGAATGGAGACCACAAAGTTTACACTAACCTAAAAATTAAAACCCCTTATAACCAGAACCGAGAACCCATATAGGACCTACACTAAAAAAATTATGGTTTCCTTATTATAGTAACTTAGAGGAAATCCCTCAACCAGAACCCCAGCGAGGCATAGTAAAGGACCTATAGTAAATAATATGCTTTCCAGACTATAGCAACTTAAAAACTAAATCCCTCAACAAGAACCCAGAATTTGGTTTCCTTATTAGAGTAACTTACAGTAAACACCCCTTATAACCAGAACCCGGATAAAACCCAGCGAGGCATAAGATAGGACCTATAGTACATAATATGGTAAATGGTTTCCGTTATTTTAGTAACTTAGAGAAAACCCCTCAACAGGAACCCAGCAGCGAGGCTCCTTCGCAGGCGCCTCCAGGCGCTTCCAGAGCCGTGAGGATTCCAAGCGGGCCAGGCCAGGCCCTCGGAACCTTCCCAGGTCGACTCTTGCGGGTTTAGACTGTTTAGGGCTTTAGGGGTTTAGGGCTTTGGGGTTTTTAGGGTTTTAGGGCTTTTAGGGTTTTTCGGGTTTTAGGGGGTTTAGGTTGAGGGTTCTAGGGGCCGGGGGGCAACAGAGCGAGGTACGATGTCTTTGACTCTTCAGGATGTTCAGGAGGGAGAGCGTGCCATACCCTCTTTATGGCAATAGTCGGCGCCCACTGTGACAGCCCCAGACCACCAGGACCCCCCTTGGCAAGTTCATGTCGTCAGCGCGGCCAGGAGAAAATTTTGATCAACGCTTGGAAGGGATCTGGGAAGGGACTACCAGCCGGGATGCTTGCCTGGAGGTTACTGTGATATACTGTGATTCGGATTGTACTATAGGTTTCGTCATGACGAGGCGACGAGCGTCATGATGAGGATGATGATGATGATGATGCCAGTGTCTCTCATCTACGTTGGTTGGTGCCGTGCCTCCTCTCTCGATGATTAGCCTCCTGTGTACGCCAGTTGTTTGTCATGTGAAAAAACATGCATGGGTGGATTGTGTGCATGTCTGACCAGATGGCCCGCTCACTGTAGAAGCATAGGTAGGACTACCTAGGCCAACAGCTTGGACGTCTATCTCTGCAGATGCTTCCAGCTCTACATCTCTCCAAGTTAGGTTAACCCCTAGGTTAAGCCCTAAACCCAAAACCCTAAGCCCTTTTTGACCCGAGGAGCTCGGCGGGTATCGGCAGCGAATTGTTTTCTTGCCGGACGGCAATGCAGAGGACAGTGGCATCTCATGCTTTCTTGAGCGGCCGCGCGGGGTGTGGGCGTTACATTTCTTGGGCGACTGCATCGTGCGCATTGTGGCATGGGACATGGCCTGCTCGCATCAGTTCAAGACACTTGCAGGTAACCGTGATGGGCCATATGCTGCCAGCCCGGTGCCATGTGGACGGCTGCTTGACATGTTTCGGCACAGGGCCAGCTTTACATCACATCCCAAATTGGACTGCAAGAGCTCCATGTTGTGCTGTCACAAGCAACATAGGTGACATGAGTTTCCTGTCTTTGACTTGCATATGTTCATGTAGTCCGTGTGCGTGTATGCATGCGTGCATGCATTTATGCATATGTATGTATGTATGTATGTATGTATGTATTTATGTATTTGTAAGGGCTTCAACAGAATCACGTCTTGCATATGCTTCTGCTGACACGCCTTTTACCCGTGTGTGAGTCGGGGGTACCCGTGCCTCAACGCATACAGATCGACATCCAAGTCTCTCAGAATTCAACATACTCGGAGCAGTTTGTGTTCAGAATTCCATCGGTGGCTGATCTGCATGATCCTTTGGTCTAAGCTAGAGTAGTCTGGTCTACTCTCTTAACTGAAGGCAGCACCTCACCCGCCTCATTGGACTTGGAAGTCCTGCACAGTGGTGACAACCCAGCTCCACCCAGGCCGGCGGGGCTTAAAGAGTCAGGCTTCTTTGTCTTTGGGGAAGTTTGAGTAAAGTACATGATTGTTGGATGTTGCGGTTCTCGTTAGATGTTGGCTTCAGCTTTTTTCGCGCACTTTGGAAGATGTCAGGGCACCGGCGAGAGCAGCGGATCGCACTAGTAGCGCGACTTGTGTGAGCCGCCTCCTTCCTGGTGTATTCACTTAGCTCAAGCTAAAGGTACCAGTTCAGGGGGTAAGGGGGGTGATCTGTGTCTTTTGCTTTTGCGTTCTCTGCGTCCTTTTTTGTTGGCGCTATCTGTGCCTTGGATGTCCATTTAGGTCTCATGTCCCAACTCTGTTCATGGATCTGTGCGTCCATGGATGTTTTCGGCATTGGCACGGGTAATCCAAAAGGAGATCTCAGAGACAGGATTCCCTACATCTTCAAGGTGGAGGCTGAGCAGTTGCACATCTGCGGCTCCTTGGATGTGAGGAGCGAACACCGCTCGCTGTCGTGAAGCCTTTGGTGCACCTGTGCGGAGCGCACTGCGAAGTAGGAGAGAGAGAGGGAGAGAGAGAGACCAAGAGAAGAGCAAGCAGTATAGTATAGTACAGTATAGTATAGTATATAACAATATATCACAGTATACTATATAATATTGTATTACACTTATTACACTATCCTATATTATATACATAGGCCCCCCCAAGAGAGGCATCGAAGGTGTCCGAAGTGCATAGGGCGCCGAAACCCACGGGCGGAACATGGGGGGAGCCCCCCCCCCCCCAGGCCCGAAAGATGGCCGCATGGTGAGACCGACGCAGTTCGCTGGACCTGGCCTCTGCCTCTTCGGCTTCCAAGTCTTTAAGGGTTTAGGGCCTAGGGCCTATGGGGTTTAGGAAGTTTAGGGTTTAGGGCCTAGGGTTTTGTTGGATTTCAGGCTCTGCGAGAGAAAGGAACTTGCAGAAAGTTGCTCTCGGAAGATTCTTATGGAAAGATGGAGGAAGGGCAGAAGGCCCCTTTTCGTCATACCCCGAAGATCAGGCCCTCTGCGTCTAAGGCGTCATGTCTCGGCAGACGTCCCCGCCGTCCTCGCCGGAACCTGAGCCAGAGTTGAGCCGCCAGAGCACGGCCTTCAGCGAGAAGGCCGCTCAGAGAGGGAAGGGTTTTAGGGTTTCTATAGGGTTTGGGGTTTGGGGCTTAGGGTTTGGGGTTTGAGGGTTAAGGGTAAAGTCCGTGCTGAAAGGGCAAAAGGAAGGGCACTTTTGGCTTGACGGGAAGGTAAGCGAAAACAGAGCATTGTTCAGATGACCAGGAAGCAGGGTAATGTACCTTTCATTGCTGCGACGGCTTAGCACCCAGTCTTCGAATCGCTGCTGTAATCCTGTTGAGGGGAAGGGTGTATGAATCAGAGGTCTACAGTAAGTCATTGACACGGAGTTGTAGGGTTTAGATGAGATCGCACCTCCGAAGCTTGCAAAATGGGTCTATCGTGATTCATGTCCTTGATATTCGGTGCCGTCTCTTCGGAGAAGGGCGTGCATTGTCCCTGCTGTCCAGGAGAAGGTCGCAGGAATGCCGGCTACAAGATTGCAAGCAGTTTTCGAATGACAGCTTAGACTTCACTAGAATACTAGAGAAGAAGGGCTGCAAGATGAGCCGAAACACTGTTTTTCTCGGAGCCTGGAGGTTGCAGCAACTTTTGGAGAAAGCCGGAACCGTCGAGTGCCGAGGTGCTTTCGGATGCGGACCCGCCTTGCTCAGAGGCTTGCGCTGGCAGCAAACATGGTAACATGTAGCGAGTACGCCGCAGCAGTGGCCTTCGGAAGAAGTCGAATGCTTTGCAGGCGGAAAAGTCCGAGGTGCCGATTGAGCCCAAAGCTGCGGAGCCAGGATCTCAAAAGCCGTGCAAAGTCGAAGAGAGCTGCGTGCCCTCACATACGAAAAAAGTCTACTCTGCGTGGGAGCTTTCCGGCTTTCCGGCCCTTGCCGAGGTCGGAGTCCAAGGCCTACGAACCCTGCGACCTCGCGCTCCCAGCCATGGCAATGCTCGGAGCCGGCGCTGTGCCGCCTGGCCTAAACGGGCAATGTATGACATACTGTAGTTAGAAGTTACTGTAATATATACCAGAATGGGCTATAATGTGTTATTTCGGGTGCCAGGTACTCTGCGGGTGTGCTTTGAGACGGGACACCTTGTGCCTGACAGCTAAGGCTGTTACTGCGAAGCTTCCGCTGACCAGAAAAGATGTAGCCGCAGCCAGGCAGCCCGGAAGTCCAGAGGTGGCAAAACTTTCGGAAGTTCGCATGCTGCTGTTACAAGACTACCTACTGCTACTACGACTACTACTACGACTACTCCTACCACCACCGCCAACACCACCATTACCTGACAAGAACTACTCCTACTATTACTGCTGCTACTGCTACTACTGCTGCTGCCGCCGCTGCTGCTGCTGCTGCTGCTACTACTACTACTACCACCACCACCACCACAACCCTTCCTGCTACTAGCTACTTACTTGCTGCCGCTACTGTAGACAGCAGGTGAGTCTCGAGGAGTGATACCTCGCGGGCTATTCCATACTTAAGAACCGTCAGGAATAGCACCCCAAACTACCACCAACCCACGTAACAACACAATAGAAAGGATTGCCGGTCGAAGTAGAGCAGCTTGTCAGAACCTTGAAGTCGTATTTAGATTCAAGGTGAGTGCTTTGAACTCGGAAGCCACTGACATGTGTGCCTCGAAAGGTGGGAAACTGGCGACATACTGGGCACCCTAAACCTCAAAGACAAGAGCGGATGTGTGACAAAGTTGCCACTTGAGCCATCCAGATGGGACCTTTCGGGCAGCCACATTCGGAGCCTTGTTGAAAGAGCTTTCAGCTTCTCAAAGGGGGTCTTTCTTCCGGAGCGATGTGCTCTTTGACCCTATTCGGCGCGGATTGTTCAGGGATCCAGTGCATCAGAATACAGTGAATACAGGTCATTGTCCCCCTTGAATTTGGTTCGACTCGAGACTCCTAAGACGATCACCCAGAGCTCCCAGACGAGCTGGTCAATCCGAACAAGTAGATCTGTGCAGCGGCGAATTGATTGAAAACAATCCGTGCTGGGGACCTCCCGCAACTTCTCGGGATGCATATGGCTTGAATATATAGAAAGGATCAAAGGTTCCCAGTGTTCCCAGGCTCCATCGCAAAGCAGGGTCCATACGAGTTCATGTTCCGCCGTAGAACCGTAGAGTTCGTTGTTTTGTGCTTCAGGATTGGATTTGGAGTTGTGACATGGTTGAAAGCACTGCAGTGCGACGAGAAAGATGTGCATCTCCCCAAAGTGAGGGCAGGTTGCGTCAGCCTTGCTTGCTGTGAGCAGCAGGCGGCGCAGGTGGTTGAGCTCCAAAAGATAACTTTTTTCAAGGTACCATGGCAGCGGAAGGTCTGAGACTATGACAAAGCCACACACGGGTGTATAGCGACGTGAAGCGATGAAAACGGAGATGTTTCGCCGATGCCTTCAAACACTGATAGCAGCAACAAGCAGAGGATGAACATGCATGAGCATGCTTGCAACAAGAACAGAAGTCTCAGACTTCCCGTGCTGGGAGATGCCCTGCGACCCTCTCCTCAAGCACTTGTCAAGCGCAAGGGGGATGGAGGCGTGCGCTTGACCGGAGCAATCTGCAGTTTCAAGTGTTTTAATGCAAAGCAAAGGTGCCAGGCCTGAACTCAGCCCGAAGCCGAGCGAAATGCAGGACCTGTGAGTTTGCGGCTGTGAATTCAGAGCTAGGCTGCTTCCTGAGCTAGCTCAGCCGAGCGAAGTGGCCCCGGTGACATCGAGAGCACCGGCGTTTGAAATTTGAAAAGCAGCGAGGAGCTGCGAAGCTACTTCTGGCAGACTCTCTGCAAGGAGCCCCTCCATGTGGGCCAAAGAGTCTGTAAAGAAAAGTGAGCCAGCGGCCGTCTTTGAGTGACAGTGCTTTGAAAGACAAGTCTTGGAATGAAATGGGCCTCTGAGACTTTTTGCCTATTTGCTTCAATTGTCTGACCGAGGAAGCCTGAACATCTCCCAGAGTTCTGCAGATCATCCCGTCGCAACTGTAGCTTGGGTTTACAATACGAATAGGATCGATCTGCATTCCAAGGATCCCCAAATTAAGGTCCCAATACCCGGATAACTGCTTTAAGAAATACCCCTTGTCTTGCTTGCGTTGTTCTGGCTTCTGATTTTTGTAGGCACTGCTGGCCTGAAGTTCTTGCCTGGAGTCCCTTGCAAGAGCACTCGAACTGGCGAGAAAGACGCGCATACTCTTTGGTGGGTCCGTGTGTCTTCTTTTTGCCAGACGAGAGTCTTGACGACGGAGAACAGTTCAGCAACCCTTCATCAAAAGTTGTCATTAACCCCATCTGCAGCTGTTCTCTGTACTGGCAGAGCTGGGTAAGCTTCTGGAAGGTTGTAGCAATTTCAATAATCCGACTCAGTCGGTATGCTGTGCAACGAACAGCATCGGATCCCAGACAGTGTTCCTTCGGAGCAGACAGGGAACGGGTTGCTGCAACTTGCGCGTGCACGCGGCTGCACCTGAAAGGGGTCAGAGAAACCTTCATGCAGCATCCTGCAGCAGGAAATCGCCGCTCTGATCAAGCAGGAGACTCTTGTGGGCGACTACTTGGAGGAGAGAGACCTGCTGGAATATCTTAGTACCCATACCCATGGGCTTTGGGTTGGGGTTGTGGAGCATCAGGCGTGCTGAGCCCTAACGTTCTGTTTTGTCGGGCCACCGCCATAACTCAACCCCTGTTGTCAGGACGAAGACATAGCCAACGCTGAAGGAGCTGAAGTTGTAGCTGACCACAGCCACTCGCCTGTGTTGCAGAGGAAGGAATGAATGGGGAATTCAGGGTAGGCATGGGTAGGCTCTCCCAGAAGCATTGCCTTCCGATCCCGATCGTGCAGCAGAGCATTCCGCACACCCCGACCCTCAAAGCGGAGGGGTTTGACATGTATGACATGGGCGGTGGAGAGAGTCCTCCACAACACTATGATTCTTGTGGCCTCAGTTCCCTGCCTGAGGCCCGATGTGCGTCGAGATGAACATCATCGTGGCAGTGGAAATGTCCACCGTGCCCTTCAAGACCTTCAAGTTCGTCGGGTTCTGAGACTTTGAGCTCCTTTCGGCCTTTCGAAGTAGGGAAGTAGGGAGTCTAAAGCCGGACCGTTCTCTGCTCCCCCAGCTCTGGGATCTTCAGAGATGTGAGGATGGCATCCTTGGCCTCAGCTTGGACGGCCTGGCCATGAATCGGAACTTCAGCACCTTTGACATGCCCGAACCCCATGGCGCTTCTTTTTGGGCTTCAGGGTTGAGGGTTGGATGGGTTGAGGGCAAAGTGCCTTAAGCGCGTGACACCACATTGTCCTGGAGCTTGTTCGTCATGCCGAATGGTTCCGCCGCAAGCTTCCGGAAGCTTTGCCCAGAGCCGAGACTGCCACAGTGCCGAACTTTCCTAATTTCAGAAATCCGTCTATAGGTAAGCCCTGCCTCTTTCTCTTCCCTTCTTGACTTGAGCGGGTTAATCGGGCAAGAAGCGCCCTGTTGCTGGAATCACATGGCGCGAAGCTGGGTGGTGGCGTCTGCACTTGCCGCCTTCTTGGCAGCGATGCTTGGCCTGGAAAGCCCTTGGTGTGCTGCGAAGGGCTGCGAAGGTAAGCCGTGGAGGAAAGCAATGGCTAGCCGCGAGCCCCACACGAAGCCCCATGCGGTACTTCTTGGGAACAGCGCATGCAGCCCTTTGTCTTGATTCTGACGGGTTCGGCACGTGCGCTTTGCAAGAGCGATACGGATAGTAGGGGCAACAGCTCGGCACAGTTCGAACGTCCATTAGCCAAGTCCGAGGACGCTGCAAGGCACGCCGGGGCAGTGCTGATGGCCTGCTTCTCTCGCAAGCCAGCCGATGTGATGTACGTTCGGACGACGGCTTTGAATGTAAGCACCCGGAATGCAGCTCAAAGCGGACCCGCCCTTGGAGACAACCTAGCCTCGAGAGACCTGCCCGAGCCAAGGTGAGGAGGCAAGAGCAACATGAGCGAAAGCCTGTAGCACTGTAGGTGACTTCAGTTAGAAGCTTCATTTAACGTCTTCACAGCGGCAGATCTGGGAGCAGGCTGCATCAAGAACTTGAAGTCTCCGTCTTCGGGAACGGGAAGCACCAACCAGCCGGCGAAGGGCGTGTGCAGTCCCATGGAGCATCCTGGCCCCAAGATGGCACGGAGAGATGCACGGCCAGAGCTTGCGCTTAGACGTTCATGCAGTTAAGATCCAGCTCTCCCATTTGCTCTTTTTGTTGACGAGTCAGAGAGCTCTTGTAGTTTTCCATGGGCTCTCTTCAGATCCCGTTGAGAACACATGCGCTGCAATGTCGAGGAGCCACGGTCATCGGCTGGACTGCGGTCCGGATGTAGAGGCCGCTTGACTTTGAGAACTTGAGAAGGGCTTTGAGGGTTATTTAGCCCTTTGCAGTCTGCACTCCAGGCTCTCAGCCTGCAGCAAAAATGGCCTTTTCTAGCGACGCAGAAGTCATGGCTGGCAGTAGCATGCTCGGTGTTTCGACCATTGCAGCCGACGTAGTCAGAGCCCGCCCTCCTCAAGTCCATCTTGGGCCTTTGAGGGCCTTTCTTGTGAGGTTTGCGGCGTGCTGGCACTGGAGATGGGAACTGGGAGCGGTGCTTACCATCACCCGCAGACTCTTGTCTGAAACCTCACTTCCTTTTGTTTCCTTGGAGCCTTTGCGTTCGTGGACGCTACGTGCGTGCTGCGATCATGTGAGTAGAAGCATGCATTCCTCCGATATCAATGTGATCACAGTGGAAGCGGCTGTTTGCATACGTGACTGTGCCTCATGCTCTTGATGGTTTAAACATGTTTTCATAGCGTTGCCCAGTCCGGTGGTTCATGGTCTTTGGCCGGAGACGCCCAGCTTCGGCACGTCCAAGTGCGAGTACCCGGAGGACGTGTCACAGGTTGTAGAGCTCCCAGCACATGGAATCCACGCAGTCGAGCTCTTGCGCACATGATAAGTATCTCTTTTCCACCCCTGTTGAGATCCCAACAGCAGCTCGATCTGCTTCTTCCTGCATACCCCACACACTTCCCAGCAGCGCCTTCCAGGCAAGATATGTTTGGACATGTTGAGTTGCGTACAGCTGTTATGAGGATGCTGTGCATCCGATCCTTTGTCCGAAAGCGAACCCTCCCACAAGATGTCAGCGGCACGTGGCACAGGACCCGGCTTCACCGCGAAGGATCTATCCCTGTCCTTGGTCTCTGAGTTTGCCTTTGAATTATGTTGAGATTGTCGCGGGATCGATCAATCAGAATCATCCAAAATCGATCAGCACTCAGATTGAAGCACTCATTTTGAAAACCTGGAGTCTGTTGTTCCGGATAAGCATATTCCGATGCACCGTCCGCTCCTTCTACCAGCTGTTAGTTATCTAGAAATACAAAATCGATCTGCCATGAATCCCGGGGTTGAGGCTTGGCAGCACATGTCTCAACCAGTTTAGACTATGACCAGCTGCAGTAGGCAGAGGAGTGCTGGTCGCAGTAACATGAAGCACTTCCCTGCCACTGCGACTGCTGCTGATGTTGCTGATTGCTTTTGCTACTGCCTCTGTTGCTATCATGATACTCGAGCTGGTCTCACGCTTTGGGTTAGAGGCACTGTGAGGCGAATACGTTCCAGCAACAGATGTGCAAGAGATGGTCATGGCTGTAACAGTTCCATTTCGTTCGACGAGGTTATAACACTCAGGGGTCGTCGAACGCGGCTTTGTCGCAACTTGGCCACATTTTGGACGTACTGCACGCGATCCCCATCATCATCATCATAAAATGACATGGTAAACGAAAAGAGACTTGGGCATTCCTTGCTTTGCGACGTTAGATAGCCTGAGACATGATAGCTGCAGTTCCCATTCACTGTTGTCTTCCTCCCCCTCTGTCTCTCTCTCTCCCTCTCCCTCCCCGGCTCAACATTCGCCTGTTCATCACGACGGCGCGAGCTTGAACCTCTGAAGATATGCTTTTGCACACATGGCTTGAAGGTTCCAGCGCCACGAATGGGAGAAGCACGGGCGCTGTGCCGGTGTGGACGATGCTGACGACTTCTTCCGGCAGGCTCTTATCAGAGGGTTCAAGCGTGCGTGCTCTTTGCATGGAATGCACCGGAAGCGACGAAATTCTAGAAGGCCTGTAAACAGGGTGATTATAGGCAATTTGGCTTTCGTGGGCACTCTACATAAATTTCATGTAATGTAGGAGTGTGGGGTCCGTTGCATGATATTGAAAAACTCTGCATGCGTTGCCGGCGTGTAAGCTGTCACTAGGTGGGCACAGCCTCCCGCTGCTGCTGCTGCTGCTGCTGCAGCAGCTGCGAGTACGTCGCACTACCACTACTTGCACTACGACGACGAAGACGACGACTACTATTACTACTACGACTGCTACTCGTGCTTGTTCTACCACTGCCACTGCAACTACCGCGGCCGCCACCTGCTGCTGCTGATACTTTTGCTGCTTCACGATGGTTTGCGACGTCATGCTTGATTGGTCCTCCTTGCTTCCGGTACTCAACGCCGACGTCTTCCATGCAAGTCGCCGCATGCGTGCAGCACGCGATCTGCTTGTGCTTTCCCGTGCAGGTTTGTGCTCTTGCGGAGGGGCCGTTGCAGGCCGCGGGGTCCATGGGCACAGTTGCAGCTCATGGATGCATGGGGATGGAGGATCTTGCAGAAACTGACCGAAGCCGGCTCGGCCGACGCGCCCGTGGTCGATAGCTTTGCAGCCAGAGCATGTGGAGGTCATGGATGGTGCCCGAGCTTCAGGCCTCGACTTGGTGGACACAGCTTCGTGTCCTGGCCAGCACTTTCTGCGGCAGTTGCAGCCACAAGACCTGTTGCTTCACGAGGCAATTGCAGCGTGCCGGCTACTGTGTCTTCGAGTTTGCCTTCGGTCTGCACTCGATGTAGGGCCGTCTGTGGCGAGAGAGAGAGAGAGAGAGAACATTGCGGGTGGGCTATCAAGCCCGCGGGTCTTGACCGACCCCCATGCCCGGGAGAGAGAGAGAGAGAGAGAGAGTTTCTCGTGTTCCTGCAACAGAAAATGCAGGACACTCTGGGTTTTAGGGTGCTTGAGCCGCGAACTGAGGGCACGCAGAAGCAGCTGCAGCTCTCAGCTTGCAAGGCCTCCGTGATGTCAAGGGTGTGGACGCTTTCTGCTGACACCGGCACTTGCTTTTTTTACCGTTGCAAACAATTGGAGAAACGAAACGTCACTCTCTCCAGCGCTTTGTGCCTATCGTCTCTACAGAGGACCAGAGCGGTCGATGGCACCTTGCCGACGTGCGACGTGACATGGCTATCGAACAGCATGGCCACGAGGGTGTGTCGTCAGGATGGACGTAGCCATGTCTTAATCAAAGTCGTAGCAACTCTTGTCGAAGCCGCGGTCGAGGCTTCTACGCCGTCTGCGGAAAAGGTGATGTTCGTCCACCCAGCGGAGGTGGAGGCAGAAAGTGAGGGGCAGCTCCTGGTTGTCTAAAGGATTTTGTCCCGTTTCGGTTGCATCGCATCGAGTTGCCTGTCTTGCTCACATGTCTTGCTCGCAATGTCCCGTACAGTCGTTTTTTGCAGCAGGTCAGTCCCGAAGAGATTGAATATGGTCGATAATAGTAAGGTGGAGTGAGGTGCACTGGTAGGGATGGGGAGAGCGGTGCTGAGCTTTGCGTTCCACACTCCCCGACGATCGGCTCGTCGCGATAAGCACGGTTGTGTTGGTAACATTGGCCACGACGCATTCTTTTCAACATGCCTTTCGTCGCACCAGAACTTGATGGGTGACAGACCATGCCATGAAGAAAGGTGCTATGGTAGGAACGATTCTCGTCAGCCACCATCGATGGGAATCCGTTCTCATTGACATAGAGTTCCCCACTGAACATATTGAGGAAAACTCATGTTCCCCAACAAGCAACTATTGGGACGGACATGTTCTTTCCCCCAGCTTGGTTTAGCTGTCTTTGCGCGAACCCTCAGAAACAAAAACAACACCAACCTGTTGTCGTGAGGCGGCCACTGCGTCAGCGGACAGCGAGGGCCGAGGCTCCCAAGAGCGCGCAGAAAGCAGAGCATGCAGAGCACTTCATGGCTAGTGCTAGGCTGCTAGGTTCGCTTGGAGCTTTCAAGGAGTGCGTTCTCTCATGCTTGCTTTAGCTGAGCCTGCTGTTGTGGTCTGTGCCCTTTGCTTCATCCCTCATTGTGGACTCGGGTAGACGGCAGCGGCGTCCTTGTATCAATCATATTTCTAGCTCCTCAAGATAGACTGGCGCTCCGACCCTTCCGACCAGTTGCAACCGCGATTCGGACTGCTTTGGCTACTCTGGCTGCTTGCGCTGCGCCGGGAGTGGCCACTGCGACCCAGGGTTCTCCGCGGATTCGGTAGATACGGGTGATGAAAGAGGGCTACATTTCGAGAGGCTGTGCTGAAGCCTTTTTAGTGATATTTGGGCATTGGTGAACCTTGATCTTCGCCATCTCTTCTTTCTTTGCCGAAAGTTTTTGGTTGGCTTGGCTGAGCCGTTTCTGTCTCAGAGAAGTATCTTGCACCCGTCTTGGCTGCCAGACCTTGAGTCTCAAGCAGCTGACACAAGAACTCCACGGCTCAGAGGTTTCGTTTCGTTTCTTCGTGCTTAGGCGCACGTGTACCAGGTACGGATGTTCCGCTCCGGAGCCTGGGCTCGTGAGGCCCTCAGTTTAGGGCCTGGGGAGCCGCGGGCGGCGTTGAAGACGAGGAAAACTGCTTCTCTGAGGTTTCGGAATGCCACGACTCTCCTGGAGTCTTCGACTGCACCCATCTCAAGAGCCACTCGGAGTTTCATTATACGGTGGGTAAGGGTAAGACCTGCTGGAGGCTTGTTGTGAGATGTTGTGAGCGGCTCGCCAGCAGCCCAGTGCAGTAGCAGCACTTGGTTTCGCTGCCCTTTTTTTTTTTTTGTGTGTGTGTGTGTGTGAGTTTGCGTGCGTACGAGCTGCACATTCCCGGAGACTCGACTTAACGGGGACCTACACGTACGAGGAACACTCATCCCCATTGCCGCTGTCGTTAGCCATGTCAGGTCGAGGACATCCCGCTCGTGCAAGTCACGGCAGCCTGCGCCATCCTACTGACTCTGGCACCTTGCTTGTATGATGTGGAGCAGAGCGAACCGGGTGCAGATAGGAAGCAACTTGTAAACAGTGGCTTGCCTGTTTAGGTGTGTGGCACCAGCCCTTTCTGTACCCTAGGATATCTGTTTAAGATCCCAGCCACGGCGCCACCCTAGGAATAATTCGCTAGTAACTAGGCAAGTAATTCCTTGTAGAGTTTGGTTCAGGGTTGTTTTTATAGAATCCAGACATAATGTAGGATAATGTAAGCAATAAACGCTTGCAGAACATGTTCACAGGATAGATACAGTCACGATTCGTATGCCGTTACTGGGTTCAACACGTTGCGCTTTGTTAAACTGCCATGGCTCAATCATGCTCCATCTATACAGAGGCTTCTTTCTCCACGGCATTTAGGTATCGAGGTATTCGCAACAAGTCAAAAGTTGGCAACGTTGGCGGTTCTTGTGGGTTCGAGTATCATCACACTTTCTTTCGAGGAACCTGCAACGTGTTTCGTCATGCGGTATTTTCGACGGCGATGATGCCGCATCATGACAGAAGCAAAAGCCACGCTCAACATGTCCGGTCGTGAGGTCGTCACGTCCGAGCACACATCTCCTAAGTTCTGCAGCAGAGAACCGAGCGATTCAGATTGTAGAGCGTGGCGCCACTATGCAACAGCATTGCAGGCCACTCATGAGGACGGGAAAAGCAGCGTTGGCATTCTCGCAAGTTCCCACCAGGTTTAGCAAATCCAGTCCGATATAATTACAATTAAGTGCTACGCAGCTCACAGCTTCGTCACGCACTTCAACTCACAAAATACTGACCATCCGATTGTCTCGCACTCGCTCGGCCCAGGCAACGGCTGCTCTTCTTATGCACCGCTGGTCGACGGGGCAAAGTGCCGCACTCGGAAGAGATGCAGGTCTTGGGGAAAGCTCCGAATTGACGACGTCAAGAACTTCATCGTCGTACGCTTGCGAGATTGCATCGCAAGCTGCGGCTAGGGTAAAGGTCACACTGTAACGAAAGAGTGGAAGTGACTTCCAACGCTGCACCTTGAACACGTTCTGGTGGATGCCTCTTCGGCCAAGACCGTCAACTGAGGCGGCATGGTCGCGTTGCCGCTGATGGCTCAATCTGGAGACTGAGACTTCTGCCTGGAGGCCTTCCTTGACGGGCGGGATCGGTTTACTGCAAAGGTTGAACATGGAAGCCACCCCAAGAAAGGGAGAGCTGCAAAGAGTGCCTTTCAGTTCTGCGAAGTTGCGAGTGGAAGCAACTAGAATAAAGAACTAGGGAGCCCACTATTTTACATTTCTCTCGCCACTAACTTTCGTGCTTTTATGGGGGCGGGCAAGCGATGTACTGCGGTGCTGAGGCATCTGACAGCTATTGGGCATGGCCAAAGGTGCCCTGCCCATGCCGACAGGAATCCGCGCTCTGAGCTGGGCCTTTTCGAGTGGAATGCGCAGTATTGACGCAGCGATAGAGAGACCTCAGACGAGGCTTTGGGGGTAACATAACTGGGTTCACTTCGACAAGCTTGGGTTCGTAATGACATCAGCCTCCGTCTAAAAAAGTTTAAGCCGTCTTCTGATGCAAGCAGTACCCGGCAGCTCAAGGGGTGTATGACAAGTCGGTAGCAGCACTTTTGCTCCGGGTCGAGCTGCGCAGCTTGTGTTCCCGAAAAATTATATGAAGACTCGCTTGCAGGACCATGCCGCAAGAAATGGAGAGCCAAAATGCACAGCCGCAGTCGCGATGATAAAGCCGAAACTGCTGCGCTGCAGGGTAAGTTCTTACACTTCTCGGTTACGGCTAAGGCTGGTGCGGAATGGAATGGCTCGGCAGCCCCATTTCGGTGTTTTCCTGACCGACAACGAGGAGAGACCCAAAAGGGGTATTACACTCTTTGAGGGCCCAGGCGAGAAGGCTTGCGGTCAGCATACTCAGGTGTAGGGTTGATTGTAGGGGCTTGGAGAAGATTTCGAATTTTGTGGGAAGCCCCAAACGGCCAACTCGCGCCAAGAATTGAAGCTACCAGTAGGTTTCAGAGACCTTGCAGGACGTTGAGCCGTCTGAGGTAGCCTTCGGTGGTGCCGACTCACGGCGCATGCCTCTTGAATGATGTCAGATTGGGATCTTGTTCCACATGGCAACCTTAATGACCATCAACATTGGGCTGTCCTTTGGAACGCTCTAGCAATGTCTTGCCCAAGGCCCGGCAGTGGCCCGGAAGCGTGCCCCTGAAAGATTTCTCGCTTACACCAGGAGCTAGCACTTCAGCCACCGACAAAGCTTGGAAGCTCAACGCTGCAAAATTCACCCGGCATTCTCCATCCTTGCCGCCCGGGTGCCACGTGTACGAAACCTCAAAAGACCATGCCGTACCCCTTCAAGCCGAAATCCTACAACATCCAAGTGATTCATCAACATCGGTTATTCCTTAGCCTGAGCCAGGCAAGGAAAAGAGCCTTTCCAGAACTCTCATAGGACCCTTAAAGAGCCCTTATTCAGGCGTTAACCTTAAGGCTGGATTGATCATGAAGATCTTTTGGACCGAGCTTTCTGATTCTGATGCTTGCCTTTTCCCCAAAGCAGCAGTGCCATTTCACTTTGGGGCCCGGAGAGCCTGCTTCTCCGATCCGAGGCTTGAGCCGGTGAGCTGGAGCGAGGCCGGGAGCCTAGAGCCAAGTAGAGAGATGGCTGTTAGAGGAGTGCTGTAGAAACTGCTCTTTTTATAGTGGATTTTTCAGTTTGTCAGGCTTGTTTGGTATTTTGGGGTTTTGAGGCTCAGAGTTTCTGGGATATATATATAGGGCTTCAAAGAGTTGTGAGTGTCTGCGTGCGAGAGAGAGCGGCAGGGTTCTGGTGTTTTGTGTAGGGCTTACAGGTTTGAGGGGCTTTGTTGGTGTCTAGAGTCTAGAGTTCTAGGGGCCTTATAAGGGGTTTAGAGCTTGCGGGTTTGCATTGCGGTGGCTGTTCCAACTTCTGTCGCTGGTTTATGGAGTTTAAGGTGGGTTCTTCGTCTGCCAAGTGCTAAGTTGGATCAGGTCTACATGCCGGAGCTCGGCTACTGGCTGCTTGGGCTGAGATTCAAAGATCTGAGTACCAATGCGACGGCCCGTCTTGATCATCGAATCAGCGCCGAAAGAGCCTGCACCAGCGCATCCATCACCACCAACATCACGCCACCATGCCGCCCTACTGTAGCCACCGCCACCGCCCTCGCTGCACCACCGTTAGCTAGTACCAGCTTCAGCCCCCGCGGCACCAACATCAGCAGCATCATCCGCAGAATGCTCATCGTCATCTTTGTCGTCGGCATTGCCACCTCTTGCGTTTCCGCATTCGCCACATTTTCGTCTTTGCCAGCAGCCAGGCAGCTCGCCTTTCAAAAGAAGCAACGACGACAATGTCAGTGATAGCGGTGGCGACGGTTGTCATAATTGTGTTGGATGTTGATGGTGAGGCTGACACTGGGAATGGTGAAGAACAATCTCCACTAGCAACCAATTTCGTAGGTCTCAGCTGAACCAGTTCCGACTTGGGTTGATTTTCAGCTGTTAGCATGTAGCGGTGCCCAAGACGAATCGGCGATTTGCATTTGCAAGTGAGCCGAAGCCTCGAGATGTGTCGAGACCCTCTGAAGCAGCGATATAGCGAGGATTGTGCCCATTCTGGCCGTTCGTGTGGGTGGTGTGGAGCTGGACTTCTGCAAGGTCCCGACTCTCTCTGCATAATTTGATTCTTCTGCATTGATGAGAACGTGGGTCACAGGGCCCACGCCAGTGTAGGATGCTTACTTTCGGAGAGGACCTATGTTCGCCTTCCCAATCTCTGCCACCAAAGCTTCGATCGTAGCTTTGGTTCCAGAGCAGGATGGCACTTGCCGCGGAGTCGTGGATACTGGCACCAGCCATTTGGGTGTCCCGGGGCCTTACGACAAGGCTCTGCTTCGCGGATGGGAGTGATATTGGAGCTCTCAGTAGCTTGATGCTTGCTTTTCTGCCAGAAAGTCGCCCCGTCGCCTTTTCACTGGAAGCCCATGGCCTGCTTCATGGCTGTCATGCTTGATTGATTTCTGTACCTCGCCCGAACGTCGCACGATTCTGCGGAGGAGCTGTCGCAGATGCTTCAGGCCTGGAGCAGTATGAAGCAGTGGCTGGATGACCTTCGATGTATAAACCATATACTCTAGCCTTGTCATCGAACATAGTACCGCCCAATAACCCAATAAAATGCATATGCTTGTCATGTAACCCAAGCCGTACATCGAATCGGTCTACGGTATAGCCGATTATACTATGACACAATATGGTTCGTATACGAAGGCCTAACCCAGCCTAGGTCCGCGCCGAACCTGGCCGAACCTAATACTTAAAACATGCGGTATCATAACATGCCACAACATACCACACCGCACCATGCCGCACTGTACCATACTACACCGTGACACCACACCGTGCCACAACATAATGTACCCATGCCAAACAGAAGATGGCATTACATAAGATGGTAGAATGTCGCAGCAACATAATAGACTTCTACCATAGCAGAATGTGGCATTACATAGCAGTGTAGAATGTCACAGAGTGTTTCTGGCACACAGCAGGTCGATGCAGGGGATCTCCTCGATTGCCGGCTCGCGAAGAGCCCAAATGTGGTGACTCGGTGGAACCCAAGTCGGAGCGTTCGGAGACCTGTTAGATTGGGTGGACCCTGTTTCTTTACTGTGGGTGTCTTTACAGTAATGATCCCGCTGGTCGGGACTCTATGTAAGGGGCCCTTATTGCTGGAGCTGCGATTCGGCTAGGAAGCAGCCGGGGCAAGCTGCACCTCTGCTGTTCAATCGCAGACTTCTTCTCCTCTCCTTCTTGTGCTCTTCAGCAAACAGCTCTGAAGCCCATGGCATCCTCAATGCATGGGACGGGATGCCTCAGGAAATCGATTTGCCCGGGAAGACCATCGAGCTCCTCCCCGCAAGCCACGGCTCTGCAAGATCTTGGTTCTGACGGTGTCAGGGGTTTAGGAATGTGTTAAGACTGCTTCGGGCGGGTTGAAGCCGGGCATCGCGGAAATGGTCGATGCACAATGCCTGTTCCGGACGCGTGCCCGGCCCAGGCGGCAAGCCCCCAATGATGGCCATAGAATCTCACGTTGCCTCGAGAGCTGCAGCCAAGGCTACATGCGCAGGCTGCCACTGCGCGAGGGCGTCTCCGTAAGCTCCGAGAAAGGATCTTCGCCTTAAGTATCGGTTTTGCAATTCAGTACCGGTCACGGTGTCGTTGTAACAACCGGTCGGACATGGTAGGAAGACTTCCGCACTTCTGTGTTTGTGTTTGAATTTGCGGCATGCTTTCTTCTTCAGTTCTATCTATGTTAATCCTGCAGGAGTCACTGTGGAGGACGAGACTGACAAGAGAAAGAAGAACACAAAGGCTCGCAATGTAGCTTCGTGTTGAGCATGAGGTCATTATTCTGCGTGATTCATGCTGACAGTTGGTGCGTTCCCCCCCGGCTTGCCCTAGAGGAAACTGTTTTCGGCAACAGACGAAAAACAGTGAGAGAAGAAGAGGTCAGGCGCGCATCCAGCGCAAATGCGCCGTGCGAACGGGCTCGAACCGAAGTCCGCAGTGGAGAGCCCAAGCACCCAGACTTCCAGCCCAACTTCGAGCATCTGGTTACCTGTGTATGATGCCTCGGTGTGGTGTAGACGGTGCCCTGTGCGGTACAAATACACCGGGTACTCGGCACATTCTGGAACACAGCAATCTCTGACAGCTGTGTAACTGTGTACCTCTGGTGGGTTTGTTGGCTGTGCAGGGATAGCAGGTAGCGCACAGGTTCTGAGAAAGCGAGAGGGAGGGAGGGTGAGAGGGGGAGAGAGAAGGGAGTGTTTGACTCTCTGGGACCCGATGCAGAAGAGACGTGGAGACCTTTACCGGAGAGGGAAGGGCTCTTACTCAAAGACCGTTCAGGCCAAAGCAGCCCCGCGACCCGGCTACCACCTCGTCCACGTTGGGCCCAACAAGAACCACACGGCAGGTTCGACGAAGTGTATCAGGCAGGGCCCCCCCCCTATGCTTGTGAAACTGGGATGTAAATAGCTGGTTATCGAGAGCCTAGGAGTACGACTGAAGCGCAATTGCTCCAGCTGCCAAAAGCCTTGCAAAAAGGCCGGCGCTGACTGTAGCGAAGGCAACATGAGGATATCACCAAAAAGGAAACGAAGCAAAGCAGCGGCACTTGACGTCAGGTCTGGCAGAGTACGAAACCCTGTTGCTAGCACCAATGCCACTAGACGAGCAAGGGAGCGGCAGTGGCTTTGGGATTCTTCACCATCACCGCATCGCGAGTGCTAAAGATTGGTTGTATGGAACAAGAGGTCCCCCCAAAAAAGGGAGCAGAGCCCACAAGAGCCAGGCATGCTGTGCTAAGGCGTTGAATTGCATTGCAAGACACCTCGAAGCAGACCGAACCACGAAGTGCAATCTACAGTGTGAATTGATGTAGCAATGGTGTTGCAGAGTACCGGTGAGCTAATTTTGATCATGGGTGTTTTCAGCATCGCAGAAACTGTTTCAATGTGCATCTGTCGTGACTATAAAAGAATATTACTTAGTATCTGTTGTTGGTCCAGTACTGCTGCGTTGGTGTTGTTCTGTTTTTCAAGGACAGCCAAGATCACCTTAAACAGCAACATGGCAGACCGGCTACTTGCAATCTTGTTGTCATGGCTGTTCTTGTCGGAGTCACCACCATGAAGCGATTTCTCATCAACGCAGAAATGACAGTTCCAGGAACAGTTCGCAACGCCGCAGCCAGGAAAGTAGGCACAAAAAGATTGCAAAACGGCCGCAAACACTCGCCTTTATGACATTTGTAGCCAATTGTGCAGGCCGGTTCACGCAGTGAAGTGCCATCCGGAAGCGCCTTGTCCCGCAAAAACGGAGTGTGAGGCCAGTGCCATGCCGCATCTCTAAACCCTGAAAGCGAGAAGACGACCCTCACTCTGATGATAGCCTCCTGACGCCTATATGGCTTTTCATGTTGTGTCGAGACACTCGTCCTACGATTATGCTATTACTCTTGCAACGACGATCATTGCGACGACGGAGGCGATGATGGCAACGATCATCGCCGCTGCTACCGCCACTGGCCACCACCTCCACCACCACCACCAGCACCAGAATCACCACCACGATAAGGATGACGACGACGAGTGCTACGGGATACAGTAGTGCCAATGCTATTGAGCTTGGGCGGCGACGGCCTGTTACTATCACGACGATGTCCTCGGCTTCTAATCGACGTACCAGTGCCGGTGCTAATGCCAGCACTGCCAGCAGAGGTACCAGTACGATGCCAGCCACAGCAACACTGCCACCTCCCCGATGCTACTATTATGGCTTTGTCTTGCTCGTTCTGCTAGGTATTTCAGTCATCCTTTGTTGTTCAGGGCCTGGCCACCCCAGGCCGCCAACAAGCGCAGCGACATCTACACTGACAAGTTCACAGTATCGTCCAAAGGCCGGCTGGCGAACACGAACGACCCCAAACTTGAAACTTGGAAGCCAAGCTGGAATGTTGGCAGGCGAGGACATCTGTGTCGAACGAGTGGATCAACCAGGATCTTGGGGTGCCCTGGCTGGGGCAAGCATTCATTCTCCGTGAAGCGCGGTCTCTGCATTTGTTTCACCGGTCTGATGATGCTTGTGTATATATGTATATGGTTATGTATATCATATCATATCATATCATATCATATCACAGTCTTATAGTATGTCATGGTTATGTATAGCCATATCATATCATCTCAGAGTCTTTTTATAGTATATGATAGTATATATTATCCTCGAAAAGGAGGAGGCTGGAGAGTCTCCGAGGATTGGACCTGGAGTTCCTCTGCCCGAATCCCCACACCGCTGGCCTCGAAGGGCCCCAGCAGAAAGGCCGGCTCGCAGTCTCAAATTGTGCTGTGTACTTCATACGTCACCTTTTTTGTTAAGGGACATGACACATGGCAAGGGTCATCTCCGTAACTTCAGCTAGGACGAACAAAAATCGTGCCAGCCAGACATGGTGCACTTGAGAGTCTTCGGAAGTGAAGCCCTGCACGAAACCAGCCGAGCCCTTGTTTTTGCAGGCGCGGAGGCGATCTACGTTGGTCGGCAAGACGGCACCGAGAAGTGTGTGCAGCCTTTTGCCGAGGCCAGGGGACAGACTTTCGACAGCCTTCGCAAGTGAAAGTACATGGTAAACTCTCACATTCTCTCGGTCGCTCGCTCGCACGTTCGTTGGTTCGTTCTTCCTGTTTTTGCTGGTTCACACAAGTGTGTCTGTGTGTGTGCGCGAGCTCCAATCGGCCGACCCCAACAGCCCATCACACCAGGTCACAAGGGCAACGCCTAAGCAGTTTGGATACGAAAAAGGACTCTGTACTGAGTGCACTCTGCATCGTGTTTTCGCAGTTGCCGGTATCGCTTGTACGGTTGACACTCCTTGCTTCGAGGTGACATGCGAGGACACCGAGCAGCTGCTCGGCTCAAGTCCGCCGTTGCGACCTGCTTCAGCCGGGTTAAAAAAAAGCACAGATCCATGACGGTACCCGTGAATCATGCAATCGCCATCTAAAGTATCACCTTCTGTTCGAAAAAAACGGTTCTTGCTGCTATCATGGCAGTGGCACACTGCAGCTAGCAATTCAGCAATTAGTCAATTCCGTGAACCCAATGTAGGGAGTCTTGGCAGGGTTTCTGGCGGGCAGGTGCCGCCTCACGTGAGCCCTCCTAGAGCCTCAACAAATGCCTTGGCTTCGGCATCGATGTTCCACGATGCTTCTCGATAGGTCCAGACAAGTCTTCGTAAGCCTGCGTTGACGAGGTTCCGGGTCCGCAAGAAGGACAACCAGATCTGTGTAACTCCACGCAACAACCCGAGTGAGATCGAGGAGGCCGGCCAGAACCGAAGGTTTGGAGCTTCAGAAGGCTGCATGAATGAATGTCAGAACATCGAGGATCACACAGAAGAGCCCGAAGCTCCACGATGCTTCGTCTCGTGTTTATTTGGAAGTCCTACCTCTAGAACCAAAATGCATTTTGAGAGGAAGCCTCCCTTGCTCCTTTTCGAATCTGTCTGATCAGAGGCTGACCTCGTCCTTCGATGCAAGGAGGTGGTCCACCCAGGCTTCGAAAACATGGAGGAGCGGGCCTTTGGGCCCCTTATTAGGGGCCTTGGATAAGGGCGGGGACTCTGCAGGGAGCGGGGGGCCGGTGAGTGGTTGCGAGCCGAGCCCCAGGTTCCCATCAGAGACTATGTGTTCTTTGGGTTTTGCTTTCATAACGATGCAGATGCATAGTGACAGGAGCTGGTGATTGGCAGCCACTTTGGTGAGCAGCCCGAGAAGTGTATCCAGCACGGGTCCCAAAAGATTGGACAGCATCTTCGGCAGCTGTGCGAGACGTAGCTGCGCAGGAAGTAGAGTCTTCGATGCTCGGGATGGCAGACTGCGCAACGGATGGATCTCGTAGGTCTGCGTACTTAAGAGGATGCACTGACGGGTGCATCTCTCCAAAAGCCCGAGGCCTCCCGTTCCTGTGACTTGTGACGTGGATGCAGCCAACCGGCGAAAGGCCCGGCGCAACACAACAGGGGCAACCAGGGGGCAACGGGTGACTTCAAGGGCTACTGGGCGGTGTGAGCTGGCATTGGTGCAAGCTTGGAATAACAGAGTCGTGACCCACCTGAGCCAGGACCAGTTTCCGGATCGCTTCGAGGTATCCGCCAAGCAGGAGAAGATCTGCGTCAAGAGGCTGGTGGTAACGGGGGAGACTGCAACAGGTTATGCGCGAATTGCGTATGCGGCGCCACAGTCTGTGTGGTCCACCCTGGCGAACGACGAACAAGAACTCTTGCCGCCACCAATTCCCCCCTCCTTGATGGCATGTGGTCTTCGGTCAGGATCGATGGGAACAGCCAGCAGTGGGGCCTGAACCTAGTGATCCACTGCAGATCGCTCACTGAGACAGTCGAGGAGAGAAGTAGGGTCACCGAGTTCGCCAGTCAAAGGTCCCAAAGGGTTGTCATCGGATCTTGAGGGTGGCAGCAGACGTGCGATCAGAGCGAAGCTCTCGGGTCTTGGGGCGAGCACTCAGAAATTCAGAAGCCTTGTTAGATGAAAGGCGGTACTTCGTATCGGTCGTTTCTGTCGCGCGTGGTTCGATTCGGTTTTCACTCCGTGCACCGCAGGACGGCGAGGCAACGAGGCTCGAAGTTTCGGGAAGCAAGTGTGGGAGGTACTCTTGGTCAGCCGCATGGCAAACGCGAAGCATGAAACTGTTGTAAGAGATGCTTGCTTGCAGTAGCTTAGACAAGTGCAGGGGAACTACAGATGAGTAGACGAAGGCCTTTCACCAACATGAGCTTTTTGAAGCCGCGTCTAAAGAATCCAACCCCACAAGTTCTGCAGCATCGTCTCTGGGATCCTCCGGGAAGCTGGAAGTTCCTCCTTGAAGCCAGGCCTGCAGAGAACGCCGAAGCTTCCGGCGAGGGCGCAGACAAGGAGTCCTTTTTGGCAAATTGCAAAAAGCTGCTCATCGGGTTTTTCCGAACGAAAGCTGGCATGGGCTTCCTGATTTCGAGTTTGGAGTGCACTGTGTTCTCGTCTCCAAAACCCTTCGGGATGAGTTTAGTTCTCTTCTCTTAGCACCGGCCCTGCGGGAGGCCAAGGAAGGCACCGGGTCACCTGGCTCGCAAGATGCAGCGGCCGCATCAGAAGCGAAGGCAGAGCAGAGAAAACATGTGTCTTGAGACTCTGGGAGCATAGGATCAGATCTGTGATCATGCAGCCAAACTTTGTGCATTCCTCGCGTGCAGGACTCCAAGGAAGAGGGCAAGGACGAGGCCAAGGATGAAGCGAAGCAAGAGGAGAAGGCGGACAAGGACGCCAAAGAGAAGGGCAAGGAGGAGGCAGCGAAGGAGGACGAGGCTCGAGGGCTGTCTCCTGGGGGTTGAGCTTGTCTTTGTAGGACCGAGCTCAGGGTGTGAACAAAAATCATGTTCCATGTGAGATCGACGCGGGTTCAGGAGGAAGCATCATCGGCAGAGTTGAAGAACTGTGCAATTCCTGCTTGCCGAAAGGATAGACTCATAGACTGTGTTTACTTGCAAAAGTTGCGGGCAGTGTGTAGTGAGTCCACAGGGCCCAGTGAAGCGCAACTGCAGCCCGCGGGTCATGGCCGTGGCTTGGCAAGAACTGAGCTGAAATCAGGTCCTCAACTTCCCCGGCATGGTGATTATGATTACTCTTTTTACCATTATCCTTATCATGATTACTATTATTGTTATTATTATTATTATTGTTATTATTGGTATTGTTATTTCCATTTCTTAGTTTTTGTTACCAGTATATTACTACTAGTACTATTGGCTATTGGTATTGCCATCTTACCGCTGCTTTTCTTATTGCCAACTTGGGTTCTGAGGTGAACCTTCCGGCACCTTTGGGCCCAAAGCTCTTCATCCTCGGCGAGCCGGTGCTTCACAGCCCCTCGCCTTCCGAATGGCTCTCCCTTTTTTTAGAGACGTCTTTTTTGTCCTCTCTCTACTCACAAAGGATACTACACCGTCTATGACTGGGAGCAGAAGAGGCGCCCCTTGGGGCTTTTGCTAGTGAGGCCAAGAAGTCCTCAAGAGTCTTGTTCATGCTCAGGGTCGGCTTCAGCTTGGCGAACACCCAGCGCAACACTATGGCTCTTTGCAAGCACTGTTTCTGAGATCGTGTTCGTGGAAGCGCGATCCCTCGCTGTGGTGATGGTGTAGTGTCCTTGCATTTGGCTCCATGGTGGTCTGGGCGAGTCCTTCCATTGAGCTCTTGAGCTCTATCTAAGGACCTGTCGCAGCTGGGACGGGGAGCCCTACCCAAGGAGGTTGCGCCTCGGCCAAGGAGTTGAGAATCGAGGAGTAGGGCCTCCGGGCGAATCGAGTCATTCTAGTCCTATCATCTGCTCGAGATCCTGGACCACTGGACATGGACGAAATGTGGAGAGAAGGGCTTTAGTTGGAGTCCCTTGCTGGTCACACGGGCCTGGCTTAGTTTCGAGGAGAAGACTTTGCGACTCCTGCATGTTGGGGCCATGGCATGGGCATCCGCCAAAACACCTACCAAGGACATGCTGTTGATGCAACGGCAGATCGAGGTGGGGGACCGGAGTGGCCCTCTAGAGGGCCAACGGAGGGTGCTGGTTAGTTTGTTGCCCCGATTGCCAATGCGACGCCTTGTCTGCAAGTTTACAATGCCATGTGTATCGCCTGCAGGGTGATGTCCGCTGCCGCCGCAGCTCAACAGTCTGTGGACACAAGCAAACAAACAGCAACACTGAAGAGCAAGCATATAACAATGGCACTCGCATGGTGGTAGGTCTTGCAGTCCAGTTTCAGACTATAGCTGTTAGTTCACCGGTTTGCCCTGCCGAGTATCAGCAAAAAGAGAACTCACGCCAGCTCGTAGAACTTGGCCCAGTGTTTTGGCTGGCACGGCCATCTCCAGCAACATGCTCGACCTCCATTTGAAGAATGTGAGAAGTCGGCAGCCCCTTTGCTGAATTCAGGCCTCTGGCTCTCGTGTGCGCTTGTAACTTCTCTCTGCTTCGGAAGCCGACGGATGGCCGAGGCCCCCTGTCCCCAAGCGCGATCATGAAGCTTGTTGGATCGAAAGGCCCTTGGGCATTGGGGCTTTCTTGCGGATTCCAGCGGAAGTGAGTGAGAAGCCAGGTCTCCAACAATCGCCCAAATGGGCCAGATGAGAGGCGACGCATCACAGCCGCATCCTGGCGCACAGAGTTATAACGGGCAAACAGAGACATTCTTTCTAGCAGTGTCCCATAAAGCGTGGAGGGCCGGCGCTGTTATTGCTCTTCAAACTGTATTTGACAGTAGTAGCTTGGTGAGATGATCATTATCATTGCTGAAGCTTTCCATGTGTCCTGCCCTTTAGAGGCCTAAAGCCCAATCACTGCCACGGAAGATTTCGAGGTTTGTTGCACTCTTGGACCAGCTCCTCAAGCAGCACCTTACCGAGCTGGCACAGCTAGGGCCGAGGCAGCCGGGGGCCGGGGTATTTTTGAACGGGGCGGGGGCGTTTTTTTTTCACAGCTTTGGGGTTTCTTTTTCCGCGGTGCTTAAACTTAAGCACTTAAGCGGCTTTGGGCTTTAAATCGGCCGCCGGGGCGTTTCAGCTTTAAGGGGTTTCGGCTTTAACCAGCCGACTAGCTTGTGTCAGCAAGTCGAGGCCAGTGTCGGCAAAAGCGAGTCAGCAAAACACGCCGCTGTATTTCAGAAAACCAGAGGCCGCAAGTCACAGGCCAACAGCCACCGAGGTCAGAGACAGGGAAGCTCCATTCAGGAAGTGAAGGTTCATGTGGAAAACATAAAACACGAGCAACTACGCAGTACCTGCTCTTGCACCACTAAGTAGCTGTACGCAAGTTTCCCCCGGTCTGAGAGCTGAACGGACCTCGCATATCGCTGGCCTCGCAAAGAGCGTGACGTGGAAATGTCAGTTTGTCTACACTGAAGCGTCCTTTCTGATGTGGTGAGTGTGGCCGTGCCCAGGAGCAACACAGGCGAGAGGGAGAAAGTCGAATGGCTCTCTTTGCTTATGATACTTGTTGTCGGCTTGCCCTCGTCGAATGTGACTTTTAGAGCTAGGCGCAGCCTAGAGGCCATGCGCAAAGTTGAATTTCCGATCGAAACATTACCAATCTTGCTGTCCAGGGACCTTCCTGCCAATGCTGTTGTCGGGAACAACAAGAAGCGACCCTCGAGTAATGTTGTGTGTCTCGCCATGCATCTAGTTTCTTGCGACAGACACATTAAGCAGTGGTTACCATTGTCACAGCCAACCTACTCGAGGTTGACCGCAGCCATAGAGACCGCTACAGCCTTTAGACCCATCCTGTGGCCTGTGAGAAGAGACTCGAAGATGAGTTAGGGCCACTTGATGGATCATGGGACTTCGGAACTAGGGCAAAAAAAGGTATCTGTTACAGTACTACTTGCAACCCCAGTTAAAGTACTTTAACCCTGCTTACTAATACTTACTAAGCCTAAGGATGAGCAACAGGAGGGTGACGAGACATTTTGAGGCCTTGTGAATGCCTGTCAAGTTCTGCCTGTCTTAGACATCCGAAACGTTGCTGCATCCGAAACGTTGCTGGCATGCTGACATGAAGCAGGCGATACTTGCCTGCGAAGGAGGGTTGCTGCACCGCTGTTTGGAAGCGGCTGAATCGGGATGTATTCAAACCTCTGAAACCTCGCAAAAGCCCCTGATCCTCCAAGTACTGTGGCTGTTGAGGCTTGCGTAGCGGCGTAGCTTCGCGCCCATGCGGGTCATCACGTTAGCTTGTCTAGGTCCGGTTCCCGGATCCCATGTCGCCCAGAGGAAAGCATCAAAACGCTTTAATGGACGAGCCAAACGTGTACTCAGGAGAATTGCCAAGGAGGTCCACAGTCGCGATTTTTCCGAGGGCTCCGAGGCAAGACTTGAAAAAGAACAACCCGTTTCTCGCACACGCAGTGATGTGACTGATAGCAGTTTTCTGCGCTAAGCAAAGTACACTGGAAGGTTGCAGCCTTGCTGCGTAGGGCAGGCACTTGTCAAGCTACCCGTAGAGATCGTTTAGGCAGTGTACCTTCACAAGGAGCAAGGATAGTAGGTCTTCTCGAACAAGATATATGGAGGCCTTGGGGATTCCGGACAGTGAAAGAAGAACGAGGAGGAAGCACAGCAGCACGAATCCCAACTGCCAGTATCATCCGATTCATCGTGCCTGTGTGCTTCAAGCCTTCGGGACTTGAGTCAACCTCCATGCCTTTGCTGAGCGGTATTCAGTAAGAAATTGTATAATTAGGTTGAACCTCGGCGATGGGCTTTTTCCCCTTCGCAGGCGTCGGACCACAGTCAGGCGAGCGCAGCCTCTCAAGCTTCACAAGCTGGAGGCCACCCGGGAACAGACGCCGTAGGCTCATAGCTGAACAGATCCGAGTGCTCACGATTCACTGACAGTCGCCAACAGTCAGCCGGAAGAATGATTCGCAGTAAGTCGGTTCTAATCACCGTTCGCTAGTAGAAAATGCTTGAAAGCCTTGGAAGCAACGACCGTGCAGGAGACAAAGCCAAGAAGACGAGGAAAAGCGCCATCCCCGCCATGCTGGACCAAGGCAGGGAGCTGCCTAAGGCTTAGAGAAGTTGCCCACTGCAACGAGCGAAAACAGGGAACCGGGGAATGAATGTGAACTCAGCTACAAGCTACAAAGAAGCCCCTGCGCAGCCGAACTATACCCTTTGCAAGTATGCTTCGGCTTCATGATGCTCACGTAGACGGAAAGCACCAACGTGCGAATGGCCAGTGTCCACACAGCACTTGACCCACTGGATTTCCAAGTGATCTTTGGCATAAGTGTGATCCGATTCTGGGAAGTTCAAACCTGTGCTTGCTCTGGCAGCAAGCTTCCAATGCATTGTAACATACATTGGATCCGCTTAATTTCGAGAAACTCCAAAATTCCTGGTTGCTGCTCGTGCAGGCAGCGAGTTCTTCGACAAAGAACTGCATGATCAGTTTATGAACAGCTTGAACGAGCCGGATGACGAGATGGACTGTTGGGCTCTCTTCATGGGATCATAAAGAATCGCCATGGGGAGGGGGTCCGTCTAATCTAATCAGCCTCCCACGAATTACAAGTCCTAGAAAAGGGGGTACCCAGCTGCTCCAAACTCCCATGTCAATGTAGAGACACTCAAAGCCCTCAGCCCTAAGCTCCGGCGAGTCCCACCAAGGCAACAGAGAACCCGGTCGTACTTAAGACTTTACCAAGCCGTAAGGGCATCCCGAAACCGAACCCCTAAACTGCCTAAACACCCCAAACGTACCACCCTGCCAGGAGACTCGGGCGCCGGATCTTCGAAACCTACTTAGTGGAGATCAGTCGGAGGAAGCATTTGACCCTTTTCGTTAGTGACCGTTAGTGTCCAGAGAACATGGCCTGTGGAGGCCCATACTTGAAACACAGAAGTTGGACTTCGAATTTCAAGTGAGAGAGTGGAAGACGAAAGGCAAGTCTGCCAGCGAGAAAGTCGCAAGATGTCCGCCGAAAGGCTTTGTTGCGAGGCATGTTTGTTTTGCATTCGCTCCAACCTCGTCGCGCAAGGAAGAGGATCTTCCCTTTAGCTGCTCTTTGCTACTTCGCAGGAGTACACCTCGGAGGAGCAGCGCAAGTCCAAGTGGAAGCGCTTGAAGGCGCGACGGGAGCATTATGTTATATTATATTTTATCTTGTTCTATCATATCATTTTGTATTGTATTCTATTCTATTCTATTCTATTCTGTTCTATCATAATATATATTAAATCAGAACTCGCTCCCAAGCTCCGCTCTTTGCGTTGCCCAGGCCTTCTTACAGTCGGCGCGTTACGAGACCTTTGGGACGGTTAGACTAGGCTTGCCAAGGTTAAGCTTGCTTTCATTCTTGAAGGAGAGACCAAGGAAGGCATCACAAATTTGATTTGTTGGCGTAGAAGATTCTGGCACCATGCTTCAATCATATGATAGCCAAGGATGTGCGTTGCAGGACTGCTGTGACACTTGGCGCTTTTTTCAGCTGCATGGGCTTTGGGTCTGGGGTGCGTTGAGACCTTGACACTTCATTTTCTGAGCTTCACCTGATCTGTTGTGTCCAGCTTGCTTGGACTGTGGATTTCTGTAGCTACCCGGTTCAAACCGGTTGTCAGACCACCTTCGTGCGTGTTCCTCGGCTTTAAATTCAGCGCTCGACGGCTTTGAGACTCCGAGGTCTCAACGTGCTCTGGATGGCCTGGGAACTACAAGTTTCAGGGCGCCTCTGACCCAAATGAGCTCCAGGAATTACTTTGAAACAAAACTTGCTCATTGTGGCTCTCATCTGAGGCATGAGTTTCGCAAATAAGGCAATTAAGAGGGGTACGGCAAGGCCTAGGCTTCACACAGCGGCATGGCCTGGCGGTCTATTGATTTTCCACTCCACTACACTGCCGAACGCTTGGGGGACAGAGCTCCAACATGGGCCCAGCCAGGGCGGCCATCGTCAAGCAGTAGTAGATGCCAGTGTCAAGTAGGGTTTTAGATTAGGGTTATTGCCTCCCTTCCTGGGCATTGAT